ATATTCCTAGAAGTGGGATCACTGGGTCAAATGGGAGTTCCATTTTTAGTTTTTTGAGGAAACTCCATACTGTTCTCTCCAGTGGCTGCACCAGTCTGCATTCCCACCAGTAGTGCACGAGGGTTGCCTCAATATATTTAACTAGAGGCCCAGTGCACACAAAATCGTGTGCAGTTAGGATCCCTAGGCCATCTTCTGCTCACTCACTAGTCCCGCCCCCCTGCTCTGTTTGCCATGGTTTCCTGTTCACCATGCTGTGATCAGAGACTGTGGGAGGGTGGGAAGGGACCGAGAGGTGCTCAATGCACCTCATGGTGACTGATCTTTTGGTCATCCTGGTCATCATGGACACTGGCTTTATATATATATATATATAGATAGATAGGACTGAAATCATACAGAGAATGTTGTTTGACCACAATAGAATCAGAAATCATCAACAGAGGGATATGTAGAAAATCGTCCAATTAGGAAATTAAACAACAGGGCTCCTTCCTTTGTTTCCCTTCTCTCGGGGACCTGAGTCCTGTACCATCAGCTGCCCAATGTCTGAAACCTGGCTTCTTATATCTTTCATCTCATTTTCTAATTACTTAGGGTGGGAGGACTCTGTTTCTCTTCTAATCCAATTCCTTGCTTCCCTCTTTGACTCCTCACATTCTTTCCTGGCTCTGGAGCTGAGTCTGTCTGCTTCCTCTCTAGGAAATACTCCAGCTAAATTCAAGCTCAACCTGAGACATACCTACTTCCCCAAGGACTGGGCCATGCAGCCAACATTCTCCGAGGAGGAATGGATCCTGGAGATCCTAACAGTGGGTCCTGGAGAGACATCAGAAACCACAGCCTAACTTTTAGGGGGCTCTGGGCTCCATGAGAGATGTCACCAACCCCCATTCCACCCAAGGCTCCGTGGCTTGCACAAACCCCGTGGTAAATACATCTGTAGAGACGTCACAAAGTAAGATCAAGAAAAAGAACTACTAGTATTCAGTGAATAATAGGACAGCAGGGTGAAGGATGAACAAAGATGGCCCCAAATGGCTAAAGGGCTGTGATGACTGCCCCACCCTCTACCGCCCAGCTGGGAAACCTGGGAGCCACAGGAAACCACAGGGTCCTGCTGGCTGGCAGAGTGCCATGTGCAAAGGAGAAAGTAGACGTGCAGTTAAGCTGAGAAATGACAATGAGGACACATGGACAACAGTGCAGTGCTCAATTCAGGGGGTGTTTATTGGTCAGTTTACTAAAGTACATCAGGGTCGGAGACTGATGGAGGCTGAGCTGGTCCTCAGGAGGGTGGGAGACGTGGAGGGGGCACTGCCATGAAGACTTCCCAGGAGCCCCTCACGAGCGATTGCATTGAGTCTGGTCCTTTAGTTCTTCCACGTGTCCAGCTCAGCAGCAGGCTGGACCAGCAGTCACCAGGTCTAAGTGCTGGAGTATTTCAGGATGGGGAGTCAGCTTCCAGATGGGGGCAGCCTCCTGACATTGGTTGGGACTGGATGGAGGGGTGCCTGGGAGAGCCACAGTCCTGCGGTGGGACCTGAGCCAGGCTGGTCCTGGGGGATGTGCCCAGCCAGCAGCAGGACTTCTGGCCAAGGCAGGGGACTCAGCAGGCTGGGCGGTAGCACACAGGGCGGCAGATCAAGGACACGCAAGAGGATGGGCGGTAGCAGCTGGGCCGGCAGGAGAAGGCGGGGCCACAGTAGGAGGAGGCAGGAAGGCAGCAGGCAGGCCTGCACACAGGGCGGCAGGTGAGGGACACGCAGGAGGAGGACCTGTAGCAGGACGAGGTGCAGGAGGAAGGTCTATAGCAGGATGAGAGGTAGGAGGAGGGTCCGTAGCAGCTCAAGGGGGCTGAGCAGAGAGTGGCCCTAGAACAGACAGGCCTGCGGCACACCCGTTTACAGCAGACTGGCACACTGCAGGAGGTGCAGCAGGAGGGCTGGCAGCTAGACTGCTGGCAGCATGAGGGTGTGCAGGAACTGGTGCAGGCTGATTGGCAGGGGCTGGATCCACAGGCCACCTGGCAGCAGGGGCTGGACACACAGCTCACTGGGGCACAGACAAGGGTCAAGCATGAAGCTGGAGCACAGCAGCTGGGGACACAGCAGGTGGGGACACAGCAGGTGGGCTGGCAGCAGCTGGGGACACAGCAGGTGGGGGCGCAGCAGGAGGGCTCACAGCAGCTCTCTGGACAGTCGTCCACCACCTGCCAGGAGTCCGTGCAAGAGTCATAGGACCCGGGCAGGCAGGCACGGCTGCCATAGCTCCGGTTGCTGGAGCAGACGGACAGGGCGGATGCGGCCATGGTGGGGCAGTGGGGCTGGAGGAGCGTGTGAGCGTGTGAGTGAGTGAGTGTGTGAATGTGTGGGATGCTGAGGGCGTCCAGCTTTTATGCCCCTGCCTGGCTGTGTATGTTGCGTGTGAGTGAGTGTGTGAATGTGTGGGATGCTGAGGGCCGTCCAGCTTTTATGCCCCTGCCTGGCTGTGTATGTTGTCCCAGCAGCAGGCTCACGCGTCCCTTCCTTGTTGACAGTGAGAGTGGCTCGTGGAGAATCAGCATCAGATGTTTTCTTCCCAGGAGGCATTGCTCAGCTCACAAAACTCTTTACCTTGGTGTGGGGTGCGTTTACCTGTTTATAGTCCTGGAAATACATCTTGTCTTGATGTGTTAGCGGGATCACTGGGGGCCCGGGCAGAGCCCAGGTGTGTGGGCGGCTAGATCTGGCCCCTGGTCGGGGGAGCCCCGAGGTTGCTGCGCTGCAGGCGGAACCAGGTCGTGTGCCTTGTGGTTGGAGGTGTATTTAGTTTCTAAACAAAGACAGTGTGAGTCATAATGTGCACGCGACACTGTACCAGTGTCCTGGGGCTGCGTACCAAGCACCGAAGACAGTGGGCCTCGCACAGCAGAAACGCATTTGTCACAGTCTGGAGGCCAGCAGCCCCAGGTCCCGGTGCCGGCAGGGTTGGCTCTGAGGCTGTGAGGGAGCGCCTGCCCCCGTGTTCTCCCCCAGCTTCTGGTGGCTGCTGGCCATCTTTGGGTTCCTTGGCTTGTAGAAGCAGCACCCCGATCTCCACCTCCATGTTCACAAAGCCTTGTCCGTGCGTGCCTCTCTGTCCAAATTCCCCCTTTTCGTAAGGACATCAGCCATAGCGGATTAGGACCTCATTTGAACTTGACTGTATCTGCAAAGACCCTGTTGCCAGATAAGGTCACATTCGCAAGTCCTCGGGGAGGGGGCGGGGCAACATTTGGGGATGCGATTCAGCCCATCACAAGCACCCCGATGGTCAAAGTTGGGGTGACACAATGCCAGGGTCAGGGGTGGAAGGAGAGGCTGAGCAGGTCTCCTTTCTCAGGGCTTTGGGTCTGCAGTACGTGAAGGACAGCGTTTGGCAGCACGCACGTGACTTCTGCTTGTCCACGAACGGCTTGAGCTCCTGGGATGATTTTTTTAAGTTTATTTTATCAAATAATCATAAAAAGAGGACAGAGAATTTACCTATACCCCTCGCCCAGCTTCCTCTGGTGTTGCCATCTTACATAGCCATAGATCAATTGCCAAATTTTAGAAACCACACTGGTGTTCACTAAAGGACTGACTGTATTCGAGTCGCCAGTTCCCCATGAACGCCCTCCCTCCGTTCCCTAACCCCGCATGGCACTTGTTAGGTCTTCTTCTCCTGCCTGGGACATTTGCTCAGTGCCCTTTGCACTATGACCTTGACACTTCCGAGGAGCGCTGGTTGGGTGGATTGTAGACGTCCCTCAAGTTGGGTTTGTCTGATGTGTTCTCACAATTCGTCTGGGGCTGCTGTATTTGTGGGCAGAATCTCACAGAAGTCATGTGTCCAGTGAAGCAGGGGTGCAGGCTGTCCATGTGTCTTATCTCTGGGAATGTGACCATTTGTCCCTTTGTAATTAGTACATATTGGGGGAGATTTTTTTTAAGACTTTGCAAATATCTGGTTTCTACTGGAACCTCTGCTCAGTGGCTTCGTTGTTGGTCTGGGGACTGCGTGCAGCCAGTCCCTGCAGCGTTCTCATGGTGATTTTTCCCCCTCCTCAATCCATCGCCATTTCCTGGCTAAAATTCTTCTCTAAGGAAGAGTGGTCCCTTCTCCTCCATTTGCTTATTTGTTCTGTTCTTTATTTCAATATGGACTAAAAAGTACTTATTTTATTGAGTTTATGGCAATGTTATCATTTTCTATTTTTGTTGCTCAAATCATTCCAACTTGGACCATCAGGGCCTCCTCCTTTGGCCTTTGGGCCCCTTGGGCCTGCCACCCTCCCTGACGTCTCACGTTCTGGTGCGAGCTCACCTGGAGTTTCCCCTGTCCCCTCCCTGGAACCAACCTCTTCTCCGAGGAGCGCTGGTCCCGTTTAGTGGAGGATGGCAAGTAGAGACCAAGGTCTGGAGCCAGGTGTGTCACTGCTGCTAGCGTGTCCCTTCTCCCAGGCCCTCCCCGTGGATAGGGCACGGAGGCACATGTACGTGGACTCACACGTGCCTGAATTTGGGAACACATTTTGTCTTTCCCGTATGGACCATGTTAGCTGCAGTGTTTTCTAGTTCAGCTTTCTCAGGCTAGAAGTTCCCTTTTATTGCTGAGAGATTCTATCAAGAATGGTGTTGGATTTCCTGAAATGCTTTTTTGTGAGGGATTTTTTGTGTGTGTGTGGTTAATCCTCACTGGGGATATTTTTTCCACTGATTTTAAAGAGAATGGAAGGATAGGATTTCCATCCCGCCATCTGGCTTATAGTTCAGACCCTCGGCCTCACAGCCCCTCTCTCCAGGATCACCTGCTGCCCACCATTCTCACTGGCACTGCTGCCTGACTCTGTGCTTCCTACAAAAATGGCTGGAAATGAACCCAAGACTCTCCACGGCCCTCTTGGGCAACAGCCCAAGAAAGGTCACTGCTTCGACCCCTAAGGGCAGGTGTCCCTGGGATTTCTGGATCATCCATGGGCCATTGTGCTTTGCAGGGACACGTGTCTGCCCGGCTCCTGAAGTCTGGTCCAACGTGACTGCAGTGGGCAGCCGTGTGCCTCATGCCCAGTGCAGGGCGACGCGAAGCTGTTCTCTGACTGGTCACCTGTGTCCTTGCCCACATTCACGGAGGAGAGGCCTGAGGAGGGTTTCCTGCGGGCAGGGACGTAATCACACCCCCTGGTATACTAGCCTGGGCTGGGCACGGCAAGATGAGCTGGGACGGCCCGAGGGAACACCAGTACCTAGAAAACGCTGCTCATCATGCCAGCAGGGAATGGTGGCATCGGTCCTGGTACAGGCAGGAAAAGAGCACCCGCTCTAGGTGTGCGCAGGGGGACAGAACCAGCCAGCGCCTGTAAACTGCCTGGGACGGAGG